TCAGGAAAAGGAAAAGATGTTTAGCTTTTATCGGATAATCTACTTGTGTAGAAGTCATATGTACATAAAGAGGTAAGCCTACATCGAGTGGGAATTTTTGATAGTTCTTTTTCTAATGAACTAGTCGACAACTTAGACGCGTGTGAAGTTCAGTCGCTAGTGACCGGAAGTAACCTTCTATCAAAAGTTCCTCTGTCTACTACCGCTCTTACAGCGCCACTATTTACTTCTCTTTCTCGATGTATGTGTCGAGGATATGAATTATGCAATATTCGATTTTCTAGCGAAAATTCAAGGAAAAAAAGGGAATTCTATGGTCTGCTCGCGACAGTGCTCGTGTGACGTCCATATACGCCCGCCGCAAAAATATTTCGCCTTTCCCTGGTTTTTGTTCGAACAGGAAACGAAACAAATGGAACAAAAAACGGCTAGACAAAACGTAGGGGGTATACGTGATTTCTAAGTTCGAAGAATTTCTGTATGATATCGAGCGCACTGTTGCCGGTGTATCTTATGTAGAGTATATAGATTCGTTAGTAGGTAAGCTAGAATTCGTTTCTTTGTATATAAAATACATATCCTCCATAGACGATGTGCTCGATGTAAAGAAAAGATCTGCGAAGTCAACGACCTTGTAGAATCGTCCGCGGTAGGTTACAAATGGAAAGATGTGTTTAGAGACACTGGACGTGCGTGTAGGATGTATATGCTCACGCGTGAATGTGGTGTTTGTATGCGTGTTTTGCGAGCGAAGCATATGTAACAAACTAGTATGCGTGCGTGTAAATGTGCTGCGCGTTTTACGTGAAACGTGTGAATGTAGGGACAGACGAAAAATGTGTAATACGCCGCAATCATACATTAACCCACCTTACTGCTAAAAGAAACGGATGGAAGCGGTATATTAAAACTTATAAATATATACATATATATTGTAAATGTATATTGTAAATGTATCGATGACAGATTAAAGCACAGTTTGTTACAAAATCCTATGTAAATTTGTTATTGATCTAGCAATTTAATTTTGTTGCTTGTTTGTAATGGAAAGATAACGGATACGTTTGATATGTTGATAATTGGCGATTTATTTTATAGACGATATTTCTATGAATAATTCTTGTGATCCCAGAGAATAAAAGTTAGTAATTTTTATAATATATGCAATACGTATTGTGTATATAATATATGTATTATTTATATTCGTTATATAATGTTTATATTTTCTGAAGTGCTCCTGTAGGTGTTGTTGTCGCGTCGGATCAATGAATTTCAAAAATCACGACGGATTGCTTTCACGAATTTTTATACGAACTTGATGGTGAATATGAATCAGTGAAACGTATAAGTATTCGAATACGTTCGTTTTGTTAGTACCTTATGTGTATATTGAATTTTACAACCGACGATTTATTTTTAATTAAGAATTACTACTTTAATTGGATTACACATAAGTAAACTTTAATGTCACTGGAAATTTAATCTTCGTGAAGAGGCGGGCTTGATAAAATGAAACAATATACCGTGTGTGGAATGTGAACATGATAACTACGAGTTATCATTTCCAAACTTCGATTTGAACGATGAAAATCGTAGATACAGCAAAAAGGATTTATAATTATAGCTGATGGGAGTAAGATATTTCTAAGGACAGTGCACGTGCGGAACGAAATTTTGAATCATCTGGGAAATATGATTTGAAATCATTTTCTTTTACGAGAAAATTGCAAAATTTGTAATTTTTCAGAAAAACGTACGTCCACAGAAAAAGTTACTTTCCTATTTTCATACTTTCAAATTAATTACGTCGTTCGTTAGACGCAAGTTGCTAGTTTGTATAGATGAGCAATGGCATTTTTTACTTGGAAGTTTTTCTGTGTTTTATCGGGGTTGACTATATTGTAGACGAATCCATCACGCTTAAGTGATATGTGATCATAATTGGAATTATTTAGTGATGCGTTTCAATTGCAGATAATACAGTTTGTGCCTTTAACCTAAAGTGTGATCTAGACGTTTACAAAATGTTTGAAAACATAAATTCTGAATTACTACCAATAAAAGCCCATTATTTTTTATTCAATGCTGGTAAGTAAATTACTTGGAAATATGAAGAGTATATGAAGAACTATTATAAATTAAGATTTAACTTCTTTCAGCCACTGGACCAATAGTACCATTTTTACCAACAATTGCAAAACAATTAGGCTTCTCTGGTTTTTTAGTGGGTACAATATATACAATACTACCAATTTCGGGTTTAATAGCTAAACCTTTGTTCGGTGGCTTGGCTGACAAATTTAAGATCCACAAAATACTATTCTTAATATTTCAAGCAGTAACTGCCATAGCCATGTTTACAATACATTTTATTCCTGAAATAGATAAGAGTGCAAATGTTACACTCACATGTAATGGTTACGGATCGGTAGAAATATGTTCAAAAAATGGATTTTCAGACAGAGTTATGCATAATGTAATTACAGAATATCACTTGAATGTATCATGTCAGGTATAAAAGTCCATGATATAAAATAACTTATTACGAGGAATTGTACTTTGACTTACTATATTTTTACTTTTCACTTTTTTCAGATGTCCTGTAAAGGTACAAAAGAATTTTATACTGAAATATGTGAGCATTGGAATGCAAGACAGTTTTGTAACTTAACAGACACAAGCATTATTTCAGATTATAAAACATTTAAATTTACTGTAGGATTCGATGAATATTACGACCTTAATGTAAGTTGTTTCATGCAATCATTTATTTGATTTGAAACAGAAAACATTTTCATTTCTAGCTGAAGCAATGTGTAGATGTCCGTATGCTTACTGCTACATTCGAAGATAATATAATACATAAACCAGCTTGTCAAAATTATGTTAAAACAACATGTGCAACTACATGTCATAATAATTCAATTTTTAATCAACTTTTGGAAGAGGCTTATATTCCTTACAATAGCACTCAGGTCTCAGGGTATCAGTTTTATTCATTTCTCTGGGCAACTATAATTAGTTGGATTGGAATGGCAGTTGTAGTCAGTGTAGCAGATGCTATATGTTTCAATCTCCTTGGTTAGTACTGTGTTGTCTAATAAAGTATTTCATAATTCGTATACTTCTGTATTACAGGAACTGACAGAAGGAAAGATTATGGGAAACAAAAAATGTGGGGCAGCATTGGTTTTGGTATTTTTGGAATTAGTGCAGGATATTTAGTAGACTTATTTAGCCAAGGAAAATTGCAGAAAGATTATACTTGTATATTTTACATTATGCTGATCATTATGATATTGGATATCATAGCGTCAATAACTTTAAAACAGGTGGATTTTTTTTGTCTTTTAATAAATTCTGCTCCTTTTGATGGAATGAAATAGATAGTACAGAAGTTTGATACTTCTTACTTATCAAGAGAATAAAAAAAATTACCAGGTAATGGGAGAAAACAGTATCATTACAGAAAAATCAAGAACACTCTGAGGACGTGTCATCAATATTATCGGAACTATTTACCATCTGTAAAGAGGGTAATGTACTGGTATTCGGATGGTGGTGCATAGGTGCTGGAATGTGTACCGGTGTAATATGGAATTTCCTATTTTGGCACACCGAAGTCTTAGCATCTGGTTCTCAAACAACATGGCTGAAAACTTTACAAGGCCTTATGACTGGTATACAGTGCTTTTTAGGAGAGTTACCTTTTAATTTTATCTCGGGAAATGTACTGCGAAAACTAGGTCATGTAAATATTATGGGTTTAGTCTTATTGGTCTATGCAATTAGGTGAGTATTTTACAGCATATTGTTATACGAAAATATATTTATATTTTTTATTACTTACCCTATTTTACAGATTTATGGCATACAGTACAATACCAAACCCCTGGTGGTTCTTAATTATTGAAATACTTCATGGACCATCTTTGGGTCTTTGTTGGCCTACTATGGTGTCATATGGTGATAAAGTAACACCGCCTGGTACTAAAGCCACTATACAAGGATTTATTGGTGCTATATTTGAAGGAATAGGTTAGCAATAATGAATTAATTGTATAATTCTGATTTTTTTTTAATTATCTGTTATATGTACTTATTGATATTTTCAGGCGTATCAAGTGGTAGCTTAATATGTGGATGGTTAATGGACGTATATGGCGGTGTTACAACATTCAGAGTTTTCTCAGTAGGTGCATTACTATGGTTAACCGTCTTTGGGCTATTACAATTGTATCTCCGAAAACTTAAAACATCGCCGATACGTATGGGCCATAATCGTGAGTAACGATTATGAGAATACAGAAATAACATTTTCTGTACATTGGATATTTAAGGAAACTGATTTCAATTGAAGCAAAATATTTTTTTATTTGTTGATTTTTTCCAGATTTGGCAAACTATGCTAATCCGGAAGATGCAATTCTTATGACAATGAGTCGCGAATTTCAAACTTATTAATAAAAGACAATAAATTTTTTAGAAATTCTATACATTTACTTAGCTGACTTACTTTGCAATGGCTGTC